TATCACTTTTTTTTTAATATATTGATTTCAGAGAGGGAGGGAGAGAGATAGAAACATCAGTGATGAGCGAGAATCATCGATCAACTGCCTCCTGCACACGTCACATTGAGAATCAAGTCCACAGCCTGAACATGTGCCCTGACTGGGAATCGAACCGTGAACTCCTGGTTCATAGGTCGATGCTCAACTACTGAGCCACGCCGGCCAGGCTCAGTGTTTCTTCAAATAGGTTTTTAATATCTTGCTCTCTCTTCTCTTTTTGGTACCCCCATAATGTGAAAGTTGGTACACTTGAAGTTGTCCCAGAGGCTTCTTACACTATCTTTATATTTTTGGATTCTTCTTTCTTTTTGTTCTTCTGGTTGGGTGTTTTTACTTCCTCATATTCCAAATAGTTGATTTGATTCTCAGAATCCTCTGCTCTACTGTGTAATCCCTGTAAATTATTCTTTATTTCAGTTGGTGTAAGCTTACTTTCTCACTGGTCCTTTTTCATTCATGTCTTTTATTCTCTCACTAAGTCCCTTGAAGCTCTCATTAAGATCCTTGAGCAACCTTAAAACCATTGTTTTGATCTCTGTATCCAGTATTTTGCTTGCTTCCATTTTATTTATTTCTCTTTCTGGAGATTTCTTCTGTTATTTCATTTGTGACATATTTCTTTGTCTCCACGTTTTGGCTGATTCCCCATGTTTGTTTCTACATATTAGATGAGCAGCTGTGTCTTCTGGAATTAGTTGAGTGGCCTTGTGCAATAGGTGTCCTGTAGGGCCCAGTGGTACAGCCTCTCTAGTCACCTGAGCTGGGCACTCTAGGTTTGCCCCTGTGTGGGCTGTGTGCACAGTCTTGTTGTAGTTGATCCTTGATTGCTGTTGGTGTCACTGGGAGGAATTGACCTCCAGGCCAATTGGCTGTGAGGACCAGCTGCAACTACAGTGGGAGAGCTGCTGTGCAGGACCAGCTGCAACTACAGTGGGAGAGCTGCTGTGCAGGAGACAACCCTTTGGAGCAGGACTTGCTTCAGTGGGGCTTTGGTGTTCACTGAATCTGCCCTGTGAGTGTGTTGCTGTGGATGTGTAGTGTTGCAATCTGCCATGGTCTGAAGCTGTCCACCAGGTTCACTGGCTCTAGGGCCTGCTGGGAGGTGCAAAATCAACCACTGCCTGGGGCTACCTTGCAAGAGCTACCCAGCGATCTGCAGGTGGCTGCTACTTGTATTGGGTTTGGAAGTGCCTGTGTGAGGCCCAGCTGTGAAGCAAGGCAGGCTGGTGCTAGTGCTGGGTCTTGGGCATGCTAATGCCAGCTGCTGCTTGTTTAAGAGATTTTAGAAAACTCTGAAGCCTGAGCCAGGACAGGCCATTCATATGGAAGCTGCAAACAGTTTGGGTGGGGCTGCAAGTTGGATGTGGCAGGGTCTCAGGGAATCAGGGCAGAACAAAACAGCGTGGCCATGCTGATGGGAACTCAGATATGGCTGCCAGTCCGCTCTGTGACGAGGGAGGTGCCAGCACAGGAACAATGACCCCCATGAGCACCCCTGTCTGAAAAAAAGCCACTCCAGAGTTCCTGCTCCCATCCCAACAATCCAGTTCATCCCCATATTTCCCTGGTTCCCCCAATGCTGGCACCTGGTGATGGAGCTCAAAGCAAGCAGGACAGTGTAAGATCGTGTATGAGCCTTTAAGAGGAACTGCCTAGATCTCCAGCCACCTCCATGTTACTCAGCCACAATCCTTGCTGGATTTTACAACCAGAGTTATGGGGACTTCTCTGCCCAGTTCTAGAACCCTGGGCTGGAGGTCTGGTGTGGGGCTGGGACCTCTTGCTTCTCACAGGAGGCCTCCACAGCGGTGATATCCCTCTGATTAAAAACATGCCACACGTGGGTGTTGGACCAGCTGCTTCCGTGCCTCCACCCCTCCTTCCAGTCCCTATGTACTTCCATCTTTACCTCTCACATTGTAGGACTTCCATTCAGCCAGCTTTCAGGCAGTTCTGAATGATGGTTTTTCTGTATTTTAGTTGTAATTTCAATGTGGTTGTCTGAAGATGCGAGTACTGGCATTTACCTGCTCACCATCTTGGTTCTCTGTATATCCTCTTTGGAGAAGTGTACAGTGGGGCCTTGACTTATGAGTTCAATTCTTTCCAAGACCGAGCTTGTTAACTCAAATTACTCTATCAACTCAATGCAAAAAATAGGCTGAGAGACAGCTGGTATCTCAAAAAACTTGTTAGTCGGGACACTCGTAAGTCAAGGCCCCACTGTATTCCAGTCCTTTGCCCATTTTTAATTGGATTGTTTGGTTTTTGGTTTTGAGTTTTATAAGTTCTTTATAAATTGTGGATATTAACCCCTTATCAGAAGTATCATTGGTGAATATGGTATGTTCTTCCACTCAGTGGGCTGTCTTTTTATTTTGTTGGTGGTTTCCTTTGCTGTGTAAAAACTTTTTAGTTTGATGTAGTCCCATTTGTTTATTAATAAACTTTTTTTGTAGATAAATCTTTCCACAAATCCATAATTTTGTGTTACAGTTCTAAAAATGAAATTGCTGATTGGAAGGGTATGTTCATTTTTAAAGCTTATACTAGAAATTGTCAAATGGCCTTCCAGAAATACACACCAGTTTATATTCCCACTAGCACTGGTGTTCCTTTTCGCATGCCTTTGCTAAAACATATGTATGTAAGCAACTAAACATATGGATTGTTAAAACACTTTTGTGCCTGTTTCCTAGACAAGAGTTGGAATGGCTTCTTACTTTAATCCAGCCGTGGGCAAACTACGGCCCTTGGACTAGATCCGGCCCGTTTGAAATGAATAAAACTAAAAAAAAAAAGACCGTACCCTTTTATGTAATGATGTTTACTTTCAATTTATATTAGTTCACACAAACACTCCATCCATGCTTTTGTTCCGGCCCTCCGGTCCAGTTTTAGAACCCATTGTGGCCCTCGAGTCAAAAAGTTTGCCCACCCTGCTTTAATCTGTAATTATATTTAATTACTAGTGTGCATCCATATCTTTCCATATTGGCCCTGTTATATTTGTTCTTTGCGAATTGTCTTTTCATGTCCTTTGCTCAGTTTTCCTTTTGAGATGTTTTTTATTAATTTGTAAAAAAAAAGTCTTGAGATATGAGTGATACTGTTATACAGAGAAGAACCTGTTATACATGCTGCAAATTTACCCCCTAATTTGCCTTTTAATTTTGTTTTGGGGGTGTTTTAATGTATAGAATTAAGCTTATGTTAAATCTCTGCTTTTGCATATGTACTAGTATATGCTTAGAAAGACCTCTACCTCAAGATCAGCTGTTCACCTGTGTTTTCTCTTAGTTTCATATAAAACCTAATTTATATGCCTATACACTCATTTCCTACTTTGATTCACAAATGTGTGCATTTGGATTTAATAGAAATTGAATTATTTACCATTTGTTTTACAGCAAAGATTTGTGGGGAAGATGGGCAGGTGGACCCCAACTGTTTTGTTCTGGCACAGTCCGTAGTCTTTAGTGCAATGGAGCAAGAGTAAGTTGATGTCGTACTTTCACATTTTGCATTCTTGAGAATTTGGATTTAGTGTTGGAATGGGCTTTACACAACTAAAAACAAACTATCTTTGAGGATTTACATATTTTGAATGTTTACAGGATCTTATAAGCATACTTTAATGGACTTTTTAAACAAGTACATTTTAAACTCAATTAAAAATAAAACAATTTTACTTCACTGATTTGTTGTTATTGATACAATTGGTATAAAAAAACTGTGAGGATTCCCTTAAAATCAGGAACATAATTAAAGACACTCCTTGTAAAAATGTATTTTGTTTCACATGTAAATGACTAACAAGTTAACTTGGAAATGCAATGTAGAGTATTAGTTTGCCACAATTAGGTATTTAGTCTAATGGAATATTCTTGTATTCTTGTTTATTTTTATATTTTGTTTTAACATTTTTATTTTATTAAATTTATTGGCATGACATTGGTCAAAAAAATAAATATAAAAATAAAACCAATTTCATTTTTAATGTTAATACCTTCTAAGTTAAAATAATTTGTTTTTAATTCTAAAGTCATTTGGGGGTGATTGTGACTATTAGAATTGGTTTGTTTATTTAAACGATGCATGTCTTTAGATGGATCTTCTAATTTGTTAGTGCATGCTTTAATATTAATGTATGCCATAATACTAAATCCATATAGATTTGTTGAAACTGCCTGCAAAGGTTTTTTTTCTTTTTATTAATTACTGCTTCATACCCTTAAAAAGAACCTACATATTCATTTAGCATTTGTGAAAACGGTACTTTGTACAAGGAAGTTACAGCCTAATAGGAGAAAGAGGGCATGTTCTTTTGTTACTGTAACTTTTGTTACTGTATATTTGTCACGTGTGTTAAGTATCAGAGGGGAGCTACAGAGTCCGTCAGAAGTGGGAGAGTAAGGAACAGCACCATGGGAAGGGAGGTGGTGTTGATAAAACAGGCACAATGTGGA